AGTACTTATTGAATGAATGAAAAAACTATAAAGCACATGCTAGGATATGATTTTTGTGTCACGTTGTATCATGTCATACTTCCTTTTTAAAATTATTTTTATTTTATTGTGGTAAAATATATATAACATGAAATATGCTTTTTTAACCATTTTAAGTGTACAATTCAGTGGCATTAATTACATTTGCAGTGTTGTGTGACCATCACCACTGTTTTCAAAATGATTCCCATCACTCATCAAACTTCTTTTTGTTTTCCCTGAAACTACCTCTTTCACACTTCATAGGGCGCTCTCTCACACTGGGATTAAGCAAATTAATGGTCACCCCCTTCAGCCTGCGTTATTGTAGGCTTTGACTGCATGTCCTTTCCATTCTTTAGACTCCAGAGTCTTAATCCTGTTGGTCCATCTAAGCATCTCCTACCTCTGAGTACTGTGCTAGGTGCTGGGGGTACAAAAAAGAAAAAGACAAGGGTTGAGAGTAGCTGGGAGACTGGTGCAGAGCCAGCTCATTAGAATATGGAAAGATATGCCCTGGCCTGAGTGTTTCAAGAGACCAAAGCAGAAAGCTGATTGCATTGGGAAGGGGTGAAGTTCATTCCTTCTTTGAATCAGTAATCAGTAATCCAGTGCACCTGCCCATCCTAGGCACTCAGGGGAAATAGAGTCAAGTGAGACTCGGCCCACCCTTGAACACTCTCTCACAGTGGAGTGTTGCCTATGCCCTTGGGATAGCTCTGGCCTAGAGCTTTCAAGAAGATGATGGCACTTGAGCTGCATCTTGATGGAGTTGCAAGAATTCATCAAGCACTCACAGGGAGTGAGGGCAAAGTGGGCATTCTGGCACAGAGAACAGCCTGTGCAAAGGCCTGGCTTGATGTGTTTGGGGGGCAGCGAGAAGGTTGGAGTCTCCAGGGCGGAGGAGAGCTCCAAGGCTGGGCTGGGTAGAGCATGAAGGAGCTGGCAGACGTGGAAGATATGGGGACCCATCACAGGAGTTAGAATCGAGCTGGGGTAAGGCCTGGGTCTCAGCTTGGCTGGGAGATGAGCTCAGGCCTGGGACCAGAGGTCAGGCCCTGACAGTCTCTCTGCGGACAGTTCCGTCGCACAGCACTGCACCGAGCTTCCCTGGAGGGCCACATGGAGATCCTGGAGAAGCTTCTGGAGAGTGGGGCCACTGTGGACTTCCAAGATCGGGTGAGCAAGTGGGCAGGTATTGGTGGGAGGTGGGAGGTGGGTCCAGCACCAGTAGACTCCCTCTCCCTGCAAACCTGTGCCAACATGGGACACAAACAGGCTGCCTCGGGGGCCTGGCCCCACCTTTAGTGGGTTGTAGACCTTGGGCAGGCCTCCTCTCCTCCTGGAGCCTCTTCTGTAAATCTGGCTTGGCCTAGATGGGCCCCAAGGGTTCTTCTGCTCTGCTTGATCCATTGCCCAGCCACTGGAGTACCCCTGTCCCTTCCCTGACCCTTCCCCTGGATATCTCCCTGCCCTCTTGGCTGGAATCCTTTCCCCCAGGGCACTTTCTTCCCTGAAGCTCTGCGATTAGGCCCCATCCTTCTCCTCTAGCTGGATTGCACAGCCATGCACTGGGCCTGCCGTGGGGGCCACTTGGAGGTGGTGAAACTTCTGCAAAGCCGAGGGGCAGACACCAATGTGAGGGATAAGGTGAGGCAATAATGCTCACAGATATTGGGGTGCCTGTGGGGCAGGGGGGTGGGAGACAGAGGGCAGAAAAGCCCAGGAAGGCAGGAAGATAGTGAGCCAGTCTGGCTTCTGGAGTGGCTGTAGAGCCTAGGAGTGGATCCCTGCCATCAACTGCAGACCCTTGGAGACCAAGATTTGGAGATGGGAGCAGGAAGAGCAGAGGAGAGGGGAGGAGAAGACATCCACTATCTTGGGGGCTTTGGGATTGCCCCAAAGATGCAGGATTTGTTCATCCATGCAATCCTTCATCATCCTTCTTTTTTTTTTTTTTCCTTTTTTTTTTAATACATAGTACTCTTTTTTTTAATTTTTATTTATTTATTTTCTCCCCCAAAGCCCCAGTAGACAGTTGTATGTCATAGCTGCACATCCTTCTAGTTGCTGTATGTGGGACGCAGCCTCAGCATGGCCGGAGAAGCAGTGTGTAGGTGCGCACCCGGGATCCGAACCCTGGGCCGCCAGCAGCGGAGCGCACACACTTAACCGCTAAGCCACGGGGCCGGCCATATTTTTCTTTTTTTTAATTTTATTTATTTATTTTTTTTCCCCCAAAGCCCCAGTAGATAGTTGTATGTCATAGCTGCACATCCTTCTAGTTGCTGTATGTGGGACGCGGCCTCAGCATGGCCAGAGAAGCAGTGCGTAGGTGCGCACCCGGGATCCGAACCCAGGCCACCAGCAGCGGAGTGCGCGCACTTAACCACTAAGCCACGGGGCCGGCCCCATCATCCTTCTATCTATCTGTTTATCTGTCCCTCCATCTATCCATCCATTCATTTATTCATTCGTTCATTTATTTATTCACCCACAATTTTTATTCATTCATTCCTTTGTATGTAACCTTGAACAAGTGACAGCCTCTGAGCCTCTGTTGCTCATCTGTAAAATGTCTTACAGTATAGATTAGATGAGGAAATGTATGTAAATTAATTATTTTTTCAACATAAGACTAATGTTTTGTGAGCTTTTGCCATGCCCATCACATAGTCTTCTCTCAATAAATGGCATCTGTTAAAATTAAAAGAAGGACAGAAGAGTGAGCAGTTGCTCGAAGCTGGGTGAGAGGGGAATCACAGAAGGCATCCCGGGGGAGGTGGCATGTAATGCTTCAGAGTTAGGCCATTGGATAGGATGGTGGGGAACTGTAGCATCCCTGCCCCTCCAGGGCTCAGGCCTTGGCACTAGGACTGGGGGAGGGGTTAGGCTGGAGCTCAGACAGCCCCCCTCCCAGAGGCACTACAGTCCAGGCCCCTTCAGCCAGCAGTTCCTGCTACTCCCCACCCAGCTGCTGAGCACCCCCCTGCATGTGGCAGTCCGGACGGGGCACGTGGAGATCGTGGAGCACTTTCTGTCCCTGGGCCTGGACATCAATGCCAAAGACAGAGTGAGTGTCCGGGTTCCCTCTTGCCCAGCCCCACTGTAGGGGTACAAGCAGCCTGAGGGCTCCCCCATGCCCGTGTGGGCCATGCTGAGTGTCACACTGGCTCTAGGAAGGGGACAGCGCCCTGCACGATGCCGTGAGGCTGAACCGCTACAAAATCATCAAACTGCTGCTCCTGCATGGGGCCGATATGATGACCAAGAACCTGGTGAGTTCATTCCTTCCCTGACTCAGTAATCAGTGTGCGCTGCTTGCCCAGGCCTTGTGCTGGGCGCTCGGAGGAAATACAGAACTGAGCAGGATTCGTCTGGAACACTCACAGTGGAGGATCTCTCTGGGCCCCTGGGGATTTGGGGCCCGCCCGGCTTCCCAACTCTCTTCATGCTTCTCTATGGCCAGAGTGCAAGTGCAGAGAAGCAGCCAGGAGGGGCAGTAAGAGGGCTTCTCCAAGGCCCCCAAATGGACCACAGGGGGCCCTACTGTCCAGGTTCAGGGAGGCCAAAATCGTGGAGGGACAGAGCTGGAAGGAAGCTCAGCACTTGGTGGGCATGACCATTCCTAGCAGACTGTGTTGGTTCCTGGTGGTCCCTGAGTTCTCAGGATCCTGTGTCCCCTAGTCCAAGCTCTTCTTTGGGGTCCAGAGCAATCACAAAGGGTAGGAGAATGGGGGTCCCCCTGACTCAGGAAAGGCTACGGGGATAATATGAAAGTCAGGAAGATTTAGGGTGTAGATGAGGGCTTCTCAACCGCGGCATTATTGACATTTTGGGCTGGATAATTCTTTGTTATGGGGGGACTGTCCTGTGCATTGTAGGATGTTTAAGCAGCATCCCTGGCCTCTACTCAAGATGCCAGTAGTACTCCTCCCCTCTCAGTTGTTATAACCAAAAATGCCTCCAGACATCGCCAGTTGCTCTTGGTTGGGAACAACTGGCATAGATGAGGGCGCCTCCTGGTACAGACTTCTGCACAGAAACCAGATCTCCTCTTGGTTCCCCCAGGCAGGAAAGACCCCCACGGACCTGGTGCAGCTGTGGCAAGCTGACACTCGGCATGCTCTGCAGCACCCTGAGCCGGTGTCAGAACAGAACGGGCTGGAGGGGCCTGCTGAGAGTGGGCGAGAGACCCCCCAGCCTGTGCCAGCCCAGTAAACACCTGCCCCAGCCCAGCTGGGCACCCCGCCTGGCCCGTGCGTGCAGCTGGAGGGTCATAAGAATGGCCCCCAGAGCTGATGACCCAGCCATTCCTCTGTGCACAACCTGGGAGAACCCACAAGCTACCGCAATAAAAAAGTCATTTTTGCTATGTGTGGTGTTTGTTTCTGTTTGTGTCTGAAATATTTAGGAATGAAGGAAGACTGGGAGCAAGGATGGGCTCAGGGAAGAGGGGCATTGGAGCGCTTTGGCCCCCCTGAGCCAGCCCTGTGGCTTTTCCTCCCGAGGTCTCGAGGTCTCGTCGTCTCCTTGCTTCTTCCCTGCCACACCTCCTCCCAAGTCCCAGCATGAATCAGCTTTGCGATGCACTTGTCCTGGGCCCCCCTCCTGGTGACTGCTGTCCTGTGGGGCTGTGTGTGGGCAGCACAGGCTTGTCACACGGCAGCCTTGGCAGGAGGAGCCTGGCAGTGAAGTGGGGCAGCCAAGGGACTGTGATCACAGGCAGCCTCTTATCCAGCCCCGCTGCACCTCCCACAGGGCAAGGCGAGCTCAGCCAATCGGCTCTGGCAACTGCGGAACTGCCAAGTGGAAGCTGGCAAGCTCCTGGCTCTAGGGCTGGGAATTGTGGGAGGAGGGCTCAGGCCTCATTGGAGGTGCCTTTTTTTGTCCAGACCCCAGGAACCAGCACTCTCTCTGGCCAGAGGAACACTGGGTTGTGGCATTTCTTCAGCTACCCGCCAGAGGGAAGGAGGCCCCGCCCTGGGGCCTGTAGGCCTAGCCTCTGACCCTGGGGCCACACAGCCCAGGCCTGCCCCAGCGCCAACAAGTCAGGGGGCAGCAAATATTTAACTAGACACATTGATCATTAACAAGGGTAGGAAGGAGTCCAAACTCAGCCTCCCTCTGGGGCAGAGACCAGCTGGGCCTCATGCCTCCTGTGGAGATGCTGGGCCCCCGAGTCTGGTCCTCTGTGAGGCAGGGGCTAAGCAGGGGCCTGTGCAGGAACAAGGGGGCCTGGGCCTCAGGGGAGGGGAGGAAGGTGGACATCGCAGGCATCTACCCCCCTGTGACCACCCCCTTCACTGCCACCGCAGAGGTGGATTATGAGAAACTGGAGGAGAATCTGCACAAACTGAGCACCTTCCCCTTCCGAGGTAAGTGGGGCGTGTCCACCGTGGGAGTCGGGGGAGACGTGAAGGACCCCAGCTTCCTCAGCCAGAGACCAGAGGAGGGTATGCACGCTCTGTGTCGACAGGGAAGTTGACCCTGTGCTCAGGGACAGTTGGGTACCCCAGGCGTCATTTTATTATGGCAGAGGAACAGGGGGCACTGGTCTGGAGTCAGGAGACAGGCGGGAAGCTACCTGCTGGCCTGTGATCTTGGGCTGACTCTCTCCTGCCTCAGTTTCCACAGCTGTTAACTGCTGCAGTCCCTTCTTAGCTGAGCATTATTATGGGGATCTGATTAGATAACAGGTGTGAAAGCCCTTGGCAACCAGGCAGTGTGCAGATGTGAGGGCAGCCGGGGGGTGTCAGGCAGCAGCCCAGCCAGTGGTTTCATCTCCCTTAAAGCTGTATTTGCACTCTCTCCTCTGGGCAAATTCCCCTTGGCAGAATTAATTTCTATTGTGGACCCTCCGACTCATTTCCCCCTTTACACGTGGGCCTCTCCTCTCTGAGGTCAGGAACCAGATCATATTTGTGACTCTCAACGTACAACACAGCCACAGGCACAATAAATGAAGGCAGAAGAAGTGGTAAATTCCTCCCATCCTGCCCTGCCCACCCTCATCCATCACCCACAGTGATTCCCCAAGGCAGTACTCTCAATAGTCCCGTTTCACAGATGGGAAGCTGGGGCTCAGAGTGACACGGTCACTTGCCCAAGGTCACTCAGCTCATAAATGGCTGAGCTGGGATTTGAACCGGGTCTGACCGCACGGCCATGCTCTGTTTCGCTCCACTGCACTGACTGCTGAGTTGCTGAACCAGATGATTTCAACAAAGCCTGGTCGGCACCAGCTTTGGGAACGGAGCGATTCTGAGTGGGGCAGTGCAGTGGAGCAGTTAAGAACATGGGCGCTGGAGTCAAATCGCAGCTCTGCCACTGACTTACTGTGAGATGATCTCTCTAAACCTCAGTCTCCCCATCTGACACATGGGAGTAATAATGCCCATCTCATAGGATGGTTGGGAGAAAAATCTGAGACAATGCAAGTGAAAGCATGCTGTAAATTGTAAAAAGTGATATACATTAGAAGGTATTGAGCCAAAGATAACAATTATTAGAATGACAGTACAATTGGCATTGTGGGCAAAGCTGCTTTGGGACAGTGACCACTGGCCTGACTGAGACCCCATTCATATCTCAGGGCTGAGGTGATGTGACCCTTCCCTCGGGGACAAGGAATGCCCTAGGGACACCCACATGGAGCAATGACACAAACCCTAAGGAAATTTCTGCTGGGGCTCAGCTCATTGAGGCCAGAAGGTATGGGCTGAGACCTGGTTCTCTTGAAGCAAAGTGAGAAGCTCACTGAATCTCTAAGAGGAGAGAAAGCTCTGCTTCACCTTCCAGGTTCAAGGACACCGTAGTGCAGGGGGTGGGGAGGGTGGACTTTGCATCTGGTATCTGCCTGCCATCCAGAGAATCCACAGAGACCCTCGGGCTCTCTTTGGACCCTTCTTCCCCCAGCCCTGATTCCTGCAGAGGGCCTGGTGGTGCCGGGGTACACAGGCTGTGGTGGACTTGGCAGCTGCTAGTCCATCTCCCATGCAACCCACACAGGCGCCTGCACCCGCCTCATCTCTCTCTTACACACTTGGGGGGCAGTGGCCATATAGAAAGAGCCCAGCATCTCGCATTAGAAGACTTGGGTAAGAATCCTGGTTCTGCCTGTTATGGCGACCTTGGATAAATCACTGACCCTCTCTAATCTGGATTCCTCATTTTAGAATGTGAACTGAGCCACAGTATTCAACATAGCCCTCCCAAGGAGCTCTAACCTGAGGACTGGGCACAGAGAACGTAGAGCCATGGGGTCCTGTCACGGCTCCCAGGACGCAGCCAGAATGCCTGGGAAGGGAGCAGTGAGCAACTTTAGCTCTAAAATCCATGTTTCTCTTGCCCCATCCTGGCCCCGGGATAGCCTTTGCAGCCCACACTCAGGGACAGAGGGAGTCAGCCTTCACGTATCACATCACAGGGGCCTCTTGGAACAAGTTAAATGTTCTCCAAAGAGGAGGCAGGGACCTGCCCTTGATGAATCAGTGAACAGTTAGAGATTCTTCTGGAAGGCATTGCCTGAAAGTATGTAGCTCTTTTTATTCTTAAATTTTTTTTAGCGGGTGTTAGTTTGTACTATTATTTGAATAAAGAGTATTCTTTTTAAATAAAAGTGATAACTAGAGACTGAAGGGTGGGGCTGTTGCAGAAGGGCCATTCGGCCCTGAACTCACACCCACAAACAACCTCAAAGGTGAACTTTGAATTGTTATTTTCAAATGAGGTTAGTGGATGACCACAAGGCTACTCCAGCAGGACTGGGGAGATGATGTTCTCCATAAAACTTGAAGTTTGTCTCTTATTCCCTTAGTATGTAGAGTCGACCACGGTTTCTTGTCATAAGATATAATTTTGGGGTATGTTAAATCCACTACTTTGTTAAATAAAATATTTTATAATATCACAATTTTTACAACCCTATTTTGGCATTTCTTTATTTTTTTTTAATGTGTTTCAGATGCCTCTGAGAGAAAAAATAGAGTGACCCAGGCCTCCTTCCACCCCGAGAGGCCCTGGGTATAACTTGGGATTGTGGGCCAGACTCTGAGTTGTCAGTGCCCATGGAGAGCCTGGCCAGCTGGCCGCCTGCTCACAACCTGAACTGTGCCCATTTCCCAGGGTAGGGGGCCAAATTCTGGGTTTGCAAGTACATCACTAAGCAAAAGGCAGCAGCCCCACTCTGGAATGGCCCCAAGCATCTGGGACATGGTGAAGTCTCCTGTCCCACCCACTCTGCCTTCTCAGCCCACTGCTTGTCTCCCCCTAATTGTGACATAATGTTATTCTAGAATGAGTCCTTCCTGGGTCCTTTTTCCTTCTAGAACCTGCTCCATAAGTGGGCTGCAAGTGGGGATGGAATGCACTGAGCTGGCAGCAGGGGTGGGTCCCAGATGGAGGAAGACACCAGCTTCAGGTGGCCAGGAATGGATGCCAGCCTAGCCAAGGGGGTCCTTCAGCCATGGCCAGCCTGACCTAGCAGCCTCTGCCCCCTGGGGTCACCAGATGGGGAGGGAGAGAAACCGAACACTGGAAGATAAGAAGGACTGAGTTGCAGAATAGATCACAAGTGGAAGGCAGAAGGGACACAAAGTTGGGGAAGCTGTCCTTCCACTGACCTTGGGGACAGCTATTAGGATGGGAGACAAGTCCTAGGCCTCAGGCAATGCCTGCTGGGGTGGACATGAGGGTTGCTGTGGCCTCTTCCCACCCCACCCCCCAATCACCTTCCTCACAATGGAGTTCATTGCTGAGGTGGGAGGGGCATCCTAGGGAGGGCGCAGCAGGGAGCCTGCCTGCCAGACACCCTCGGGGAGCCTGCCCTTTCAAGCATGCTCCATACCATCTGGGCTCCCTCACTCCCAGTGTGCTCTTAGCTCTGCCTGCGTGGGGTCCTGGAGACCTTCTTGGAGCTCATCCAGCAACCATCATGCAGGGTGGTGCTGGGCGCTGCCCTCTTACTCGGAGGTGGAGGCCTCATGCTGTGGATTCAGAGAAAGAGGAGAAGGAAGACAGTCTCTGAGTCAGCACCAGATGAGCACGAGCCACCAGAAGGCCATAAAGCAAAGAATGAGGACTGGATCAAATCTCACTTTAGCCGCCTTTCTGAAGAGAAGCTAGCCACCTGCAGCAACTCTGCTGCTGCCAGCAGCAGTGCCACGGCCCTCCGGCCTAAGAGTGGCAGTGGAGAGGCCAGCACCACGATTCGCGTGGAGACTTTCACCACGAGTCAAGATGGGGGCACAGCTCTTCACCGGGAGTCCTTCACCAGCAAGCAGAGGATGTCTGGGTCCTCAGTGATCAAAGAGACCCACAAGGAATCTGGAAAATCCTCATCCACGGATGAGGCCACGTGGGCTGCCGTGGCTGCCTGTACCAAGGAGATTGACACCAAGGGGCAGCAACTGGCTAACTCCATGTTGCAGCGTGCCATGGCTTACCAGAACTCAGGCCACCTGGAGTCCAAGGACATCAACCAGGAGGAGCTGAAGGCCCTCGAGGAGGTGGAGATGAAGCTGAAAGGGAATTTCCTCACCCAGCGGGAAACCTCTGTAGCTGGTGCGAACCACACACACACCTTCCATGGCCATGGTCAACATGGCCACCAGAGTCATCCAAGCCACCCAAGCCACCAGAGTCACAGCCTGCCCAACCGCAGCCACCAGACCTACCACCCCTTTGAAGCCACCTAACCATGGATGGAGATACCCCTTCCCCCAGCAGGGCTGGCATACAATCACAGGCCTGTTTTCTCTCCTATGGGCAACTATGTGGCCCAGGGGGAGATGCTGCCACCCAAATCCCTTCTTCTTTGGGCCCCCACAGGGGTCCTGGGCCTCTTTGACTCCATGAGTGGGGTCTGTCACAGAGGATGGCTCCTGATGGAGGAAGAGCTGGGAGGAAGCGAAGCAGCTGAGACAGACTCACGGGCCCCGGAAGACCCACTGAGAGAAGACAGACGAGGCAGATCCCAGGAGCAGCTGAGAGCCCCACACTGATGCCAAATGCCTGGAACTGAGCCAATAAAGCCTTGTATCCCCTCCCTCTGAGTCTGGGGGCTCTGTGGCCAGCCTCAGGTCTGGGCGGGATGGGGAAGAAGGTTTCTTCTCCCACAGTCCTCTTCATGTGGTCCTTAGCCTGGGGCCTTTTTGCTGGGCTGATTTGAGACTCCATAAAACAGCTAGCCCGGGTGTCAGGTTTGGGGGATGGGATATCTCCAGGGGGCTCAACACCCACCAACCTGCTGTTGCCAGGGAAGGAGGAAGCAGCCAGGTATTTGGGGGATGGGGGAGACAAGCTTTCAGAAGCCAGTAAGCGAGGTGGGATATAGGCCTCCCGTCCTCTTGGTCCCATCCTTGCCCCGTCCACTGCTTCTCTAGTCATGTGGCATCTCACACTGCAGTTCTCTCTCCCTGCCCCACCCGCTTCTGGGGGCCGCTGGGATCCGTGTTCGTGCCTCCCACTACCTACCTTCAGAGCTCTCGTGCCTTATCCTCTGTCTTCATGTTTACATTACTATTGCCGGAGCTGGGGCTGGGGCTGCTGCTAGCACCGCTAATTAGTAGTATCACTAGGACCACCAGCAGCTCCCTCTTTTTGAGTTTCTTTTTTTGAGTTTTTAGTATATGCCACACTCTGTGTTAGGTGTTCTGGCACAGCCCCACGAGGAAGGTGGTACGTTATCTCCATTTCACAGATGAGGCGCCTGAGGCTCAGAGAAGCAATTCACCTGAGATGACATAGACAGTAAATGACGTTGCTGGAGTTGGAGCCCAGCTCTGCCTTACTCCACAGCCCATAGCTTAATGCCTGCCCTGTGCCGCACCCCCGTCCAATGCCCACTGTCCCCAGATGGGTCTACCTCTCTCATGCTTATCCCTGTCCTCTTCCCACATGTCCTGACACTTTGTGCCTCCTGCAAGCCTAAGACTCTCCCTGTCTCCTCTTCCTGGGTCCCAAGCAACCATTTCTGGGGCAAGGGGTGATCCCCAGTTAGGCAGTAAAAGGGAGACAGCTGTCTCCCCCGTGGAACTTGGAAGAAGTTGGCTACACGGCACTGTCTAGCCCCCAGTGACTCTTTTACAGAGAGATTTCTAACCATTTGCATCTATTATGGATTTACCAAGGTTCCCAACCTGTGGGCCTCAAACTCCAAGGGAAAGGGGCTCAGAATCATTGCCGAGGATGGATAAAGGTATAAACACCCTAAATGTTGTCAATTGATTTTATGGAGCACAGGTGGGAGTATTAGAATATTTTGACATTACTAATAAGTGACTTTATATAAACGCCGATCTTTATATACGTCTATTTAAAATAGTTCATAATAAAAATCTTAATTTCAGAAAAAAATGGGGTGAATCACACTGGAAAATGTTGGAGGCTGCTAAATTAGACAAAAAGCAAGCGTGGTGAGGTTGGGCTTCTGAAAGTGATTATTAAAAAGCATAAAACACATGTATTTATCTGGAAGACCTTAAATCCCTTATTAAAATCTTATTACATGAAATTTCAGATTAGCTAATTATGACTTTGGAATCTTTAAAAAAGTTTCAAGCTGGCAAAATTCAAATAAGATCTGTAGTTACTATTGTACCAATGTTAATTCTCTAGTTCTGATAATTGTACAGTAGTTAGATATGCAATTATCATTGGTGGGGGCAGGAGGAGGGACGTATGGAAATCCCCTGTACTATTTTTGCAACTTTTCTATAAATTTAAAAATAGTTCAGAATTAAAAATCAAAAAAGTCTTCAATTTAGTTATGAGTGCATGTAAAAGTTTTATTACAGCTGTGCTTCAGGGAAAATGGTTTCTAAGCGCCAACATATACTCTTGGTAAGGATATTTTTATAAAAAAGAGAATGGTCAAATCATTGTTCAACTAGATACAAAGAAGAGCAGTTAACACTACTAGACTCTTGTCTGAGAGTCAGCTGGGAGGGTGGTTGGTTTCCCAGATCGAGGCTTCATTCCATTAAAGCTCATCAGGAAATTGCCAAAGTATTTTATCAGGAATGCTCATTTCTTCCCACTGGGAGGTTATGAATTACATCACGCAAGGAAGTTCTGCCCCAGACCAGATTAGGACAATTTTTCTTTTACACAACAAATTGCCAACAGACACCTCAACAGGCAGCGTACTAAGGTGTCATGGAGGACACCATCCCTGACCTTGATGAGCCTAGGCAAGGTAAGACAAAGTGCTATGCGAGGAGAACAAGGTGCAAGGGGGTGGAGACTTGAGGAAAGGCCCTGTTGCCCTCGCAGCATTTGAGGGGCTGCAACTAGGAAGGTGTTCCAGGCAGAGGGGAATAGCACAAGCAGAGGTATACAGGCAGGAAGGTGGCAGTGGTCTGGGGAACCTCGACAGTCATTTTGGCTGAAGGGGAACATTTAGAGCTGGGGAAAAGGTAGGAGGAAAAGCCAGAAAGGTGACTCTGAAGGCTACAGCCAAGGAGGACTTAGGAGACCCTCCAGTCCAATTTCCTTGTTTTACAGCAGAGGCCAGTTTGAGAAATTTTGCCGAGTCCCACAGGCAGGGGTGGGGGAGATTGAAGGGTTCTGAGGATTTTTCTGTGCATTTTTGAGTAGGCAGCAGGGAAGGACAAGGAACAGGTAATGAAAGTTCAGAGGAGAGATGTCCAGTGGAGGGATTCCAGGAAGACTTCTCAGAGGAGGTGGCAGAGATGACCGGCCAAGGGGCATAACAGTGACTGGGGACACTCTTTATGTAAGAGAGACTGTGACACCTTTTGGTCACAGTTAGTCACATGTTGTTTGTCCATCGCCAGCCCCAAACACCCACTCCCCTTCCCAGGCCACTCTGGCTCCCCGGAGCAGCCAGAGTAACCATGGGCAAGAGAGAGAAGCTTCTGAAATGAGCCTCTTTCTTCTTACAGCTTGGGGGGGCCTGATAAGTCCCAGAATGCAGCCTCTCCTCCCACACCAGCCAGCCTCCTGCTCCTCAGATTGAAAGCTGTCACCCTCCTGATTTAAGGCCTGAGCACTTTCTCCTAACATCATAGCAGTTACAGCTAACACTTATTGAGTGCTGGGCTCTATTCTAAGCACTTTACAAACAGTATCTCATTTAAGCTTCACAACAATTCTTTAAGGAGGGTACTAACATTATCCCCATTTTCAGTTGAGGAAGCTGCGGTTTGGGTAAGCCACTTGCCCAAGATCTCATAGCTAGTGAGGGGCCACATGAGAGTTAAGTCCGGGTCCCCTGACTTCAGAGCCTACACATCTGACCACTCTATTGCACTGCTCATGCTTCTCCATCACTCACTCCCCTCTCTCCCGACCCACCGGGACCCCGGCCTCTTCCTCTCTTCTAGCCCCTCTCTACACCGGGAGGCACATTGGGGCTGAAACTGGAATCTAGCCAAAAAGAAAGAGGGGGCCCTTGGCCATATCAGTTCACAGATTTCAAAGTGCTTTCTCATACATTTTCTGGTTTGAGCCTTTAAGACAGCCCTATAAGGTAAGGTTGAAATAATTTTATTGTCATCACATAGAAAAGGAAATGGAGACTCAGAAACGTGATGTGACTTGCTCAATAGCCAGAGGTGACTTGAGTCCAGTGCTTCCCCGACTCTATCCCACTCCCTCTTCCCCAACCTGGCATTTCTTCCTTCTTGGGCGTCAGGCCTGGGTCAGATGCTCCCTTAAATGAGACAAGGGAGAGGGCTGTGCCACTAGGAGTCTTGAGCACAGGGGCCTGCTTCTCCTCCTGGAATGCAAGACCCAGCTGTCCTGCTGTTTAGGCCAGGTCCACCGTGGGGCCCAGAGGCTTCTGGAACTGACCACCAGAATGAAGGGTGACTTGGGAGTGAGTGACTGTGGCTGGAGAAGTATGTGAAGCAAGAACCCGCCCCGGCCGCCTTTGGTGGGGGTGGCAGGCAGTGTGGGGAAGGGAGGAGCAAAACTTTTCTCTAGATCCTTAGAGGCTGCTGGTCTAAGCGTGACCTAGACCTTCTCTGGGGTTGGCAGCTCTGCGAATGGGATGACCCACTGGGAAAACACTGGGGCCTAATGCAGCAGGACAGAAGGAGGCTCCCACCATCGGCTTCCAGCCTGACACTGAGGAATTGATCCTGAGGAGGCAATCCAACAGAAACCAAAGGCTATTTGCCTCAATATGTTCCCTGCGATGTTACCAAGGCAAAAAAACTGGGGGAAAAATGCAAAGTATCCAGTGAGCTATTCTGGCAATCTACTCAATGGAATCTAATGTGTAGTGAACAGCATGGAAAAAGGTTTGTGGTATAAAGTTGACTCGACATCACACTGTGTCCCATTAAGGATGACTCATGGAACAATTGCTCTTGGTCCCAGAGCCAAGCAACTCTGTGTTTCTCCAGGGCAGGTGCTTTGCTTTTATCTTGAGTTCTACATATCTGTCAGCTGACCATGTTTCCCTTTTAGCTTTGCCTGTTGGGAAGCTCCAAATAAAATTTATGGCCCATCTCTCACAACTGCATGGCAAGAATTTTGTATACCAGTACTGTCCCCGGCTTTCTTTTCTTTCCTTTTTCCCAGTGTTCTATTTATTAACAGTCTTCTTGTATTGTACGCTGTATTTGTCAACTATTTAAGAAAAAGTTTTGTGGAGTGGAATGGAGTAGAGAGGAGAAAGAAAAGAAGAGGAAAGAGAAAGTTAAACGAAAAAAGCTGAGAGGAAAATGGTTTAGTCACATTCCCTTCAGATTCAGCTGAAGAGCATCAATTCTGCTGGTCTCTTGTGGAGATAAAAGGGTTGACACCTTTAACTGGTAATCTTAGAAACCCCTTGAATGATTGATAAAGCTGGAAGACGCAAAATAAAATAATCAGGTGTCACTTTTCACCAAGAAAATTGGCAAAAATTAGTTGTGAAAATACCCAGCGTTGGCGTGGATGGACTAACAGACTCTTCTATGTGCTGATGGAATAGAACTGGCTAATTGGAGAGAAGCTTGGCCTGTGAAGATGCTCATACACGTGACTCAGTAATTACACACCTGTGTATCTAAACTCTCGAGAACTCTTAGGTTTGCTTCAGCATTGTTTGTAATAGCAAAAATAAGGAAATATTCTAAATGTCCTCAAAGGGAGAATCAAAAGTAAATTGTGGTCTAGCCTCACAATAGAATATTACACAGCAATGAAAATGAATGAATCAGAGCTACACGTCCTGCAATGGACAAAGCTTAAAACACAATGTTGAGCAAAAACGGCCAAGAGCAGAAGGTTGTATTAGTTTGATTCTGTTTCTATAAAGTTGTAAATGGCAAAAACCATATCATATCATGTTTATGGGCCCATGTGTATGTTTTAAGGGTATAAAGACATGAATGGGAACAATAAACCCCTGGGACAGGCCAGAGAAATGGAAGAGGAGGGTGAGGAAGGTTGTCCTGTGTGCTGGGTACACCCATGTGGATGATATTATTATCTCTTCTTTTTGCTATGGCTAAAACATTTTGTTAAAACACAGAAAAATAGTGTGAATGCTGCCATTACAGCTGGGTGAGACATTCTGCCTGCCTCAGGACAAAGATGGGAAGGAAACGTGTGACAAACTATGGTGTTGGGGAGGTAGGAAGGTGGGTGAGCTTAACACCAACATCTCGGTTGTTCAGAAGAGGATGGAAGGTGTCAGCTGGCTGTGATGGGGCCTCTCTTGCAGGCTTCGTGGTCCAGGGCTCCAACGGCGAGTTCCCCCTCCTGACCAGCAGCGAGCGCCTGGAGGTGGTGAGCCGCGTGCGCCAGGCCACGTCCAAGGACAAGCTCCTGCTAGCCGGCTCTGGCTGCGAGTGTGAGGCCACAATGCCCTGGGCCCCGGGCGTGGCTGGGTGTGGGGGCCAGGCTCTTTGGCACTGGTGCTGGGTCCAGTCTGCTTGTCCTGTCTCTTCTGCACCCTTGCTTGCTCCAGGGTCCTAGCCCAGCCCTTCTTCCTCGTGCTTTCGCCCCCTATGGCCTGTAGGGAAGACTCCCTCTTTCCTCTCGCAGCCACTCAAGCCACGGTGGAGATGACCTTGAGCATGGCCCAGGTCGGGGCTGACGCCGCCTTGGTGGTGACCCCTTGCTACTATCGTGGCCGCATGAGCAGCGCTGCCCTCATTCACCACTACACCAAGGTGGGTGTGAGGGGTGGGCATGGGTTTGAGGCCTGGGACCCAGAGGAGGCTGGACGAGGTAGAGACCCTGCCTGGGGAGGGGAGACAAGATGAGCTGGGAGCAGAGCGGTGGGCCTACTTCCCACGGCAACAATGGGAAAGGGGAGAGATGCCACTATGCACTAGCTGTGTGACGTTGGATGACTGACCTAACCATGTTGTATCGCTGTTTCCTCTCCTCTCAAATGGGAGGAATAATGACGTCTTCCTCATAGCATTGTTGTGAGGACTAAATTCTATCAAAACTTGAAGGACTTAGAACTGCACCTGGCACTCACTAAGTATTACCCATTATTACTGCTAACGATCAGGGTACGCAGCACGTGACTTCTAGTCCCGGAGGTGGGCTGTCCAGGTGGCCCTGCAGTGACCCAGGCCCGGACCTGATGGGGGGCAGTGCCTCGGGTTCCTCAGCGGGGGCGGCTGCCTTCTCCCCTCTTCTCTACGCCCCTCAGGTTGCTGACCTCTCTCCAATTCCTGTGGTGCTGTACAGTGTCCCAGCCAACACAGGGCTGGACCTGCCTGTGGATGCAGTGGTCACGCTCTCCCAGCACCCGAACATCGTGGGCATCAAGGACAGTGGAGGTGATGTGAGTGGCAGCAGCTCCTGCCTGGGGCTCCCGCCTCGTCTTCTCTTTTGCTGCCAACTTCAGGGCAGCTCTGCGACCCGCTTTAGTCCTGGGCTCCTGTTTGGGTTCTGTCTGTCGTGTGGGCTCTCTGGGGCTTCTGAACTTTGGGGCATCTCTCTGGGACCTGGGCTCTCATTCTCCCACCATCCAGGCTGGCAGCAGAGCCTCTGAGCCCAGCTCTCACATCAGGTTTGCTGTTGCAGGTGACCAGGATCGGGCTGATTGTTCACAAGACCAGGAGGCAGGATTTCCATGTGTTGGCTGGATCGGCTGGCTTCCTGCTGGCTGGCTATGCCGTGGGTAGGCCTCCCGCTGCTCTCACACTGTGATGAGTGACCAAGATAGGTCCAGGCAGCTGGGGTCTGCTGGGAGAGACCGTGAGGGCCGGGCTGGGGCTGCGGAGGAACTTTGCCAGGCTGCCTGCTCGGAAACCTCAGAAGTCTGGCACATTGCTTGCTTGTCTGAATACCGGGTGCTTAAGAGTGACCTTGTTGGGTGGAAGAGATGGGTACGATCTCTGGCTGCAGTAGGGACGCTTGCAATTTGCTCTAAGTCCCGAGCTCCCTGCCTAGCTGACAAATATAGCTCCTTCTGATCTCACCTTGTAAATCATTCTGAGAGCAGAGGCCTTAGGGCCCTCCCGTCTAGTCCAGGAGTCCATTTTCCTCTCTCCTGGTCCCAGGCCAGAATGAATTGTCAGACCTGTAGACTTGGGCCAGGGATCTTCAGCAGCCTGATCAGATTCTGTTCCAGTCCAGGATCCTAGGAATGTCACCCTCAGATCATCTGCTCTTGTCTGTTTTGGATCAAGGTCGCTGGGTTCAGGTTGGATTTGAGCTGGGGAGGGGTGGAAACGTCTGCTCCCTTCAGCTGAAGCCTCAGCGAGTACAGATTGGAGTTACTGTTCCAGAGCTGCAGGGGGCAATGCTGACTCCTGTTCTCTCTGGTCTCTGCAGACTTTGGCTTGTTGTCTAGGTCTTCCCACAACTCCTCTCTGCCACGTCTCGGTCTCTAAAGTGCGGGGGAGGAAGAGGGGGCCCATTTATGCCTTGTTCCTGGGGGTGGGGCAGATGGAAAGAGCCAGGCTCCGGAGGCTGGGGGTTTTGAGCTGGAATCTCAGCTCTGCCATTTATTCACTGAGTACTGAGTACCATTTATTCACCTCTATGAAGCAGGGAGGTGTTGTGAGGATTAGAGAACATTGGCCCTGCGTCTGCCATAGTGCTTGGCACACAGTAGGTATTCAATAATTGGCGGCTATATTAGCCCATTCCAGTTGCCTACTCTCTCTCCAGTCTTGAGGCCACTCTGTTTAAAGTCACTCCTAACAAGCCTTAGAATCACACTCATAGGCTGGCAGGGCCTTCTGAGATCACAGCCAGCCCGTGTTCATTGCCTAGATGAGAACAAAGAGGACCAGAGAGAGTCTATGGCTTCTCCAAGTTCATGCAGCCAACGGGAGGAGGTGCCCAGCCTCCTGAATGTGTCCAGAACTCTTTCCACTCCCCCCACCCCCACCCCGCCGCTGCTGTCCCAGGCTGAATTCACTAGGGGGAATAAGATTTCAGAATAGCAGAGGCTTCCCATCCACTCCACCCCCTTCCAGGACTGATGAGTCAGGGGGCTATTGGAGGAGTGTGGAGGTGTCAACTGGCAGGTGGGACTTTACTCTAGGGGTGCAGGGAAGGAACTGTCCTTGAGTTAGCCTTCAGGCTCTGCTCCCTGCCCCTTACAGAATAGCTCTAAGCAGCGCTCAGCCTGTGGGACTCTACTTCAAATATGCTGGCAGCTTTTCTCTCCGGAAAGCTGTACTCTGTGGACTCACAGAGCATGCCTCTGATGTGGCCAACCAGTGGCATAGAAATCCACATCCTATCTCTCCAGAATAAAGAGGTGCTGGGGACCAGGGTCTGGAATTCTCTGTGAGAAGAGGCTCTGGCTGATGTTCTGCATTTTACTCTGGGGCAGGAGCTGTGGGGGGCATATGTGCCCTGGCCAATGTCCTGGGGGCTCAGGTGTGCCAGCTGGAGCGACTCTGCCTCACAGGGCAATGGGAAGATGCCCAGAAGCTGCAGCATCGCCTCATTGAGCCAAACACTGCGGTGAGCTCCCAGCCGCTGGCCCCGAAGAGTGGGGGGGTCTGTGTCCTCATTGGAGCAGGAGCCAGGGAGAGCACAGGGGTCCCCACTCAGGCTCTTCCCTTTCAGAAAGTCCCCTTAGAGAACATCCCAGGGTGGGAACTCCTTGTGCCTCCCCAGAAAATCTTGACTTCAGACAAAGTTGAGCCCCATTGCTTCTCAAACTTAAGTGTGCATTAGAATTCATTTAGGGAGCTAGTTAAAATTCTAATCCTTTAGGCCCAGGACTGTGCATTGAGACAAGCGATGACTGTGACACGAGTAATCCCGGGACCTTCATTAGAGACGCACTACCTAGAAAGAGGGAGACATGGGCCTTTATATCAGCTTTATAGGGGTCAAGATCCTAAAAAACAGAATGATTGGGAGTAGTAAAGGAGGAGTTGGAAGGCTGGAGGTAGTCAGAGCCCAGATTGCCCAGGAGACTTCTGTCTTCAAATGATCTATTCTGCAGTCAGACCATGTACCCCAATTCTGTGTGGGGCAAGTCAAGGAGAAGAGCCAAGATGGAATGTCTGTCAAGTGCCAGGCAGTGCTGTGCAGAGCCATGCTGGAGTCTGAGGCAGAGAGGAAAATGTGTGTCCCTATAGACATGCTTTGATCTATATTTTAAATTAAACTTTTTATTTTGAGATAATTGTAGATTCACATGAAATTGTAAGAAACAATACAGAGAGATCCCATGTACCTATTAACCAGTTTCCCCCAATGATAACATCTTACAAAACTATAGTACAACATGCAACCAGGATTTCTACATTGATATAATCAAGATACAGAATGTTTCCATCACCACAAGGATTCCTCTTGGTACACTTTTTAGCCATACCTACTCACGTCCTGCCTCCACCCCTGCCTTAACCCCTGGTAACCACAAATATGTTCACCATATTTATAATTTTGTCAGTTCAAGACTTTATATAAATGGAATCATATAGTATATGACCTTTTGAAATTGGCTTTTTTCACACAGCATAATTCTCTGGAGATTCATCCACGTTGTTGCGTGTGTCAAAAGTCGGTTCCTTTTCATTAATGAGTAGTATTTCTTTTTTTTTTTATCATTATACTTCTATTTCTGCATAGATTACATTATGTTCACCACCAAAATACTAATTACAACCCATCGCCACACACATGTACCGAATTATCCCTTTCACCC